TGGAGCACAATGCAAAACCAAAACGGTGTTGACTGAATCTTAACGCCTGCAAATCATTAATTCAAACAGCACGCTTTAAAAATCTGACGGCGGCCACTTTCAACCTAAAAATTAATCATTTGGGAAAATAAAAGCCTCCTCGGGCCTCCAGCATCCGTGTGAAAATCCTTCTCCCTCTTCAAAGGCCACATGAAAAAAAAATCCCCTCGTTTCTCTCCAGTGCCGACATGAATTTCTGACTCATTAGCATTTATGCAAATGACTTTCTAATTGCAGGCGTAATGACTCTGGCGTGGGAGATTTTTCAATCCGCCATGTTTTTTTGTTGCTGCATGCTTTGCAGGATGCCCCTTTTTTTGTCTTCATTTCTAAAAACAAAAACGATCCATTCTCTTGTTTCCAGACGCTCATCTGACGGGGATCCTGCTGGAGCTTTATGTAACATTTAGAAAGAGTGGGACACTTTTTTTTTTTAAACAGGCCGCGTTTATCTGAGGCACCGACAAAAGCCAGTTTCTTTTCCTGCTCAGCGCCGCAGTGAAGCTCTGCTACCCGGGTGATTTTTTAATAAAGAAAAAAAGGTGCAAAGGGATGCCAAAGGAGGCTCTAACTTCGAGGTGAGTGGGGTGATCTGCAGCCGCAACTCAGTGACGCCCGTCCAAGCCTGTAGCTCCTCTCACGCAATGCATGCAAGCAGAGTGGAAATGCAAAATGGCAGCACGTGAATAATTATTTTGAGGATTGTAGATTTTATTTTTAATCAAAGAATCAAAGACAATTAAAAAGCTGACTAAAGTTTAATTGTGAAAAGAAAAGCCAGCGCTTGCTCTCATGGGAAAAATTAAAGGTTTGACCTTTGACAGAAATATTTATGACCCAGATCTGCGGAATTTAATGTCCTGCAGTAGAGATGTTAGTATTTATGTAATGCAATACGTTGCCTTTTGTCTCTGTTCACCACGAGACACCTTTAGTTTTTCATTTTCCACCACTGCTCCCAGTTAAATGAACTATTTAGAAAGAAGCTGGTGTATATATGTGAGTGAGTGCAAGTGATGGTGTTGGTTTGGGGGGGGGGGGGGGGGGGGGGGGGGTCCTGTCTGGTTTGGCACAAGAAGGCTGTTTGGCCCCCACAGAGCTGCAACAATATGGGCAGATTTTGAGGGACAAAAGATCCAAAGCCTTGAGTTGCAGAGCACGTCTCTGACACTGGGACACTGATGTACTGGGAATACTGGGATGTTACACTGGGAGATGGTCAATCAGAGCACTGGGATGACAACATGAGCTTCTGCAGTGCCTGTGCAGCTGCCCAACAGGTAGCAAGATTTGGAAAATGATTTTTTTTTTCATTATGATTTGGACACAATCATGTAGATAGCTGAAGCCCAAAATACAGGAGATCCCTTCTAACTCTGTGTAGGACAACATATTCTAAGATAAAACTCATAAACGACAGAGTCTGAGGCTGTGAGTCTGTAGTGTGTAATGTTTCTTTGTTTGGATTGTCGTGGAAAGCCTCTGCGATCTCTAGTCATTTCACTATAATCAAACATTCACGCTTCTCGTCCAGCTTTTCATTGTTCTAAAGAGTCATTTGTTCCATGTCAAACCGTGAATAAAAAGATATGATAAATGAAACAAATGCAACACAGACAAAACGACATGTGGCCGTATGAATGCATCCGAACCCGATTTCAGATGAACTGGTTTATGTTTGCCTGCATCTCCTGCAAAGTCTTGGAGAAAAATATGCTGTCGCATGATTTAATCAAGATTTTTATTCACAATATTTAATATCTACCTGGTGCTGAAATACATGGAAAGAACAGGGGCAATTAAGAGTTCAACATTATCACTGGTTCTGAACAGACTGGACAAATGGATTAAAGTGTTAAAATTCTAAACTATACTAACATGGAGGAAGTGTAAAGTCTTTTCACGTTTCATGTGAAAGATGAGAGTGGGGGTCTGGATAGGGTGCTACCTTTAAAAAATGCTGTGTTCTTAAAATTAATCTGTATTTGTGTTTAGTGTAATGTTGAGCGTTTTACACTGAAGGCAGCGAATCCTGCACATTGTGTATTATCCTTGATGATAAATTACCCAAACAATGCACTTCTGAAAAAGACAAAATGCTTCATTTGTGGCGTGTATGTCATTTCTAAGATGTTTATCTATACAATATGATCTTTAAATACATGAAGCCTTTACACAAAGAGTATAAAAAGACAAACGAGCCAGCAAAAACAGTTTCTTTTCAAATTCTGGATCATTTCCCAAATACTACTTTGTATCCCTGCGCTGTTCCCTGAGTCCAATTTTTTTCTTTCTTTCTCTCTTTGTTTTTTGGCCCTTGGTTTTCATTCATGATAGTCTTTTACATGCTGGTCAGCAGCTAAACTGGCTCACGGAGGCTTTTTAGCTCAGTGAAGAATGTGTGTGGGCTGTAAACACATCCTGCTGCTGGTTTAAACACACAATGTCGGATCCAAATGTAAACAAAGAAAAAGACAAACGCAAGACAGGACGATGCTCTCAGATGGCAGTTATTAGTAATATTGTCTAATCTTGTTAATGCTTTTAAACATAAAAACAAGCACAAAATCTGTTTCTTTTTTCTGAAGTTGAATATACCTGCTACTAGTGGAGCCTTTAGGAGACCTCATAAAGGATGGACAAAAAAACAAAACACTTGTCAGTCAAATGCAGAGCAATAGGCTACACCTGACAGGTGGGAATGCAACATAGTGATCTTTTTAGATTATAGTACAGAAAATAAATAAATTAGAACACACACACATGCACACGCCTTTTATTAGAAACCAAGAAGCATGTAAAAAGATGTTTGTGCACACGCTGGTTTTGTTGGTTATGACTATAAGAGACAAATTAATTTTTTTCAGAGTTCATTATATTTTGCAGTTTTCTGTTAAGATTGCTGGCAGGATTTTACACATCCTTCCAAATGGTGTCATATTTGCGTTGGGGGTAGGAAGCATTGAGCAGAACACTGACGGTTCCTACATGTTTTAATTACGGCTTCTTTTCCTGTCATTTGACGTTGTGGTGTATTTCGGGTGCAGAGTTGCCAGTCACACTCATGTTGCTTCTGTAAGAGACGCAGATCTATTATATGAATCGCATAAAGAGTTGAGCTGATCCGGTAAATGGTTCTGGTACCAGGTGAAAACCAAACCCTACCTCAGTAAAACACTGAATGGGTATACTGTTTTTAACCTAAATGACCAGCTGCACAAGAAAATGCTGACTGGCATTAACAAGCACAAATTCATTAAACAGCTTTGTGTGTTGTGGCAGTCTTACTGGTAGTAGGGAATACAGAACTTTAACTTGTAGAGGCACATCTTAACATTATGGCATTTCTAATTTCTTAATAAAGCAGAAGATGTGATTCCTTTGGTGGTTATGGCATTATTGTGACTATATTCCAATAAGGAACATATTACATTAAATATTTTAGTTACATTTTAGTTGCCTTATGGCTGCAGCTGAAGTCATAAAAAGTTATAAATCCGGTCAAAAAAAACTACTCTGCTGTTAGTCTATTGTCACCAAACTTGCAGTTCAAAATTGTGATTATTTTTCAGTCTTGCATATTAATTAATCTGCAATCCAAGACTGGTTAACCAGCAGAGAAATTCATAAAGTCTTTGCAGAGTAAACTGGTTGGGGGGGGAGGAGATTGTGGTGGTGGTGGGAGGATGGGTTAACTGCTATGCCTTGCAGGAATGGCCTGATGGGTGCTAATGAACTTGGGATGTGCCACCACAATGCTGAGCGGCCCCTGGTGCACCTCGGTGTCCGGGTTCCCATGCAGCCGATGGAATAAGAGGGTTGATGGAGGGGAGGAGGAGAAGTGATGGGGGTTAGGAGGAGGGCGGGCGGCTGGATTGTGCACCCAACCTATTGTGCCCGGTCCTTAGCCCATTAGCCACCACCAACCACTCTTGCTTTCGAGAGCTCGAGACTAGCCTGCCTGCCTGCCCGAACTCGGTAACCAGGCATCGGCGAGGGCGAGAGGAGGGGAGGAGAGAAACAGTAGCCGTATTTAGAGTTTGATCTCCAGGAAAGCGTCCAAAATTTGGAGAGAAAGAAAAGGGGAGCCCGGGACATTGGTAGGCAGGGAGAACCCCCTGACAACAAACCCGGGCCTGACAAAGTTGTCTCTTTGGCAGTCGCGCCTCCTATTGAACCAGTAATTTATTCAAAGGAGATTTTTATCCCCGCGATCTAATTATTATGATAATCAAGTGACCCAGACCCCCTTTCTTGGCTCTTGTCTGCGGGCTCTGGGCTCGGCGGTGACAGTAAAAGCTGATTTGCACGGTCTTCACCCCCTGGTCACATTCCTGGACTCCTCTGTATCAAAGACGTAGACAATGAGAATAGTGGATGTGCGCACTTGATCCAGGCATGAGCGGAGGCCGCAGTCTCCGCCGGGGGCTTTGTGTCAAATGAATACTAGTAGCCAGACAAGATTACACGAAACTTTTTATAATCCCCACATGGTCCAAAACGACGCTCACAACGACACCCTTGATATGTGAAACTCCCAAATAGACCTGAAATAGAGACAGCAGAGACGATGCTGAATATTTGATTGAGCTGATGATACCAGTTTATAATCAATTAGAGAACTGATTATTAATATGATGACCAAATGTCATACAATATAAGGAGTGTTGCCAAGATTTTGGTATCTGTAGTCTCAAATATGACGTCGAATAAAGCCATTCTACACTAACTCAGATTATTAGTTTCGAGGATTCTTTTTTATCATTGAGGACAGAACTTGAGCTTGAATCCTTATTCAAGACCACTTATGCTTTCATTTTTTTAGAGGGTGGAGACAAAAAAGCAGACCTGCATCGTGTCATAAAGGGGAGGGCCTTGGTGGTGGTAGCCTATATGTTTTTAGAGCAGGCATGTTTTGAGTTCATATTGCATCTGACGAGAGGAATGGCGAGTACCGGGGACAGCGCGGGGAGGAAGGGGGGAGGCGAGATCCACCTCCGAGAGAAATAATGGGGATGATAATAAAACAGGGGGAAAACCCGTCCGAGGGAAGCTGAATGGATGGAGCAAGGCAGACGTCACGGCCAGCCGCAGCCATGAAGACCGTGCGGTCCAGCCTCCGGCAACTCAGTTGGTCTCCATCTCCCGAGCCGCACGCTTCTCGATTTTGGAGAGCGGACGCCGCGGAGACTCCCAGGCGACGGCGTGAGTATCAATATAATCTGTGTTTTCTCCAAAGGGGGGAAGGTGAAAGCGGTTGGGGATTAGCGGCGAAAATCACGGAGGAAAGACCGTTCGCATCCGCGCCGTGCACGCCGCCGATCTGCACGCATAACGGAGCAGGATGCACACAGGCTGGATGTGTCAGCAGCAGGCGAATATGGGCGCTGTGTGTTTGAGCAGCAGGTCCTGGGCTCTGAATTTACCGTTATTTTTGTTTCTGTTTTGATGCTCTGATGAGGGTAAAGTAGGAGGTGATGTTTCACTCACAATGGCAGCTGTTGAGAGGAAAACCAAGTGGCAACTCAGTGTTCATGACATTTTGTCTCTTAATTCGGTGTGCTTAAAAAAATACAAATCGATATTGAAAGCTTCAGAAAGAAAAATTATGGGTTGATTCACTTAGTAGAATATGGAGTAGTGCACAGGTGGAAAGTAACAGCTAAAACATGTGGAAACAAACCTGCACTGTGGAATACGTGTGTGAAAGAGCAACTTCTAATTTGAAGTGGTTTGTCTCTGTTTTAAAGAAAAAGTACTCTTTTTTCAGACCCAGCCTTTATGACGCATTGTGTGCAGGCTTCATACAAAGCGATTCACAGAGAGCCACACAGGCCAAAAGGCGCTTCCAGCCTTGATTTCATTTCTCATACACACCTCCAGGCACTTAGCAGGGTCACTTCTCAAGCTCTGTTTGCTGCAGAAGCGGGAGCTGCAGAGACAGGCAACATATGGCACGAAAACCCAACAAAATTTGACACGATCAGGATGTGGGGAAAAAATTAAATCCTTTTGTGTCTTTTCCCCCCAAATTAAGCCCTTGCAGGACTCTTTGCTACCATGTGGCTCAGATATGAGGATTACTAGCACACAGACCTGCAATGCATGCGTAATAAGACAAAGTGATCGTGTTCACACCCATGGTTGGCGGATAAAGGGATCACAAGGCCAAATATCCAGTCCACACGTGTGCGCCGAGAGGCCTGTACAGAGAACACGTGTGCGCCCCCGGATACATTAGGGGAGAAAAACTGAGGCCGTTGAGCTTTCAGGGGGTTTGAAGCAAAAAGAAAAAAAAGGAGATTATGAAATATTTCACATGATGAACATGAGGGTATTAATTTGTATGCAGGCTTAGGGAGGAGGGGAGAATTTAGAAAACAACGATTTTGTGCAACCTTTGCACAAAATTCAGATTCATTTTCCAGTTTAAGCCAAAATATATCGGCCACGCAACTTTAGAGTATTTATCTAGCAACACACACACACACACACACACACACACACACACACACACACACACACACACACACACACACACACACACACACACACACACACAATTGGCAACTGTGGGGTGGAACAAATAAGGAGAGGATTTCTGTACAGGGCTTTAAATGAAGTTCATATGCACCGTGTATTTTAGAGATATTTGCGACACCACTGTAAAAATGGCAGGTTGTACATTATTGTAAAAATACAGATAACAAAGTATTAAAAGTACTACTGCTGAAGTATCACTCAGTGCACCTTACTTCACCTACTATCGGAGTTTTTGTTTTAAAAAAAATATTTTGTCCTTGTCGTGACAAAATAGAATTTTCTGACGATCTTTGCTGGTTAAACGAAGTCTACAATAACCAAAATTGGGCAGTTAGGCATTGTAGTCATTTTGAAGAGTAAAATCATCGTCTCTTTTTTCCAGGAACCGCTGGAGAGACATTCAGCGGCCTCACAACACGTGATTTACTGTAGGTAATATGGATAACCAGCTCTCACTGTCACTCATATCACCCTCAGGCTTCCGTGGTTATTTTTTCAAAGTTTGATGGAATAATATGTTTTATTTTGACGTAATTGCTTTAAAAAAATACAAGTGTATTTATCTACAACAACAACAACAACAACAACAACAACAATAATAATAATAATAATAATAATAATAATAATAATAATAATAAATATATGAAGTGCAGACTCAAGTTTAAAATCTAACAAAGAATAAGATGAAGACACTCGAAGCTGCATGTCAAAATCTGGGCTCTTATTTTAAACGTCACAGGATTTTGTCATAGGTTGTGGAAATTACTATTAATTGCGTAATTTCTGCAAAGCCTCATTTTAAGGCGAGTTGCCCTATCACTGCAAAAACAGTGCGTATGCTCATCAGACACAGTGGGCCTGCCTCACCACAGTGTGACTTACACTCTGTTTATTTCTGTATTCATCCTTTAAAGTGGCTTAAAATGTGGGTAAAATACTTTTGCCCTCCTGCACAATTGTCTTTGTTGCCTCCAAAATGCAGTCGCTCAGTCGCGATTAAATGAAACGTTTTAATAGGACTTATCGCGCGGGTTTAATCAGATGAGAACCAATGACACTTTGCAATATAAATCCATTTCTTGCTAATCTGCTCTGCACCTTTGCATATTTTTTTCCCCAATTAGAGGCACAGGATTTGTTGACGTCATGCTCATCTTTGGCCAATAGCAGGGCCTGATGAGGTTTGTTTAAATAATGGAGATCAAGAAGCTGGAGTTCCATTTATGCCCTAAACATGCTTTGAAATTTTGGAGAAAAGGGTCCAAACGAAGACTTAAAACCAGGGGTTTTTGGCTCATTTAAACTTTTAAAGAACATATATATATATTTTAATGTTCACAAACTTCATTTTGTGAACACATGGTGTTAATAATAACATCATGAAAGCTAAACACTGTAGGGACAATAAGGCAGAAGACAAAATGATGCAATTGTATGAGATTAACAGAATTATATGGAATGCAGCACTTAGGGGACTACGACTGAAAAAGCAAAAATAACTGAAATAATCCAATGCAGTCTGAACATTTTAAAAATCGTGATTTTTTTTTCCTTTTTCAGCTTGAAAATCATGAAAAAAAATATTTATTTAAATGTTAATATTGCACCATCTGCATTCAGAATAATTACCATGAATTACTAATGAGTTAAAAAAAAAACTTACTAAACACTAAAATTGAAAACAACAATACTTATTTTATTTTAAATTGATGCTGCAAAACATTTCTAGTTTTCTAGATAGAAATAAAAAAAAGCATTAGGTTATTGTTGTAGCCTTAATTAATGTAAAATATGATTGCATTAAAAGAATAGCCTACTGAAGTCTAATAGTTTTGTAAAAGACTACTTAATAATAAGTGGAAGTTATATCTTAACATTTAGTTTTTAAATATTCTCATTCACTTAATGTAGACTATAGCTAAAATACATAAAATGAGCTATTAATAGTATTGCATTTTTTGTGTATGTGTGTGAGAGAGAGATTGCATGTATCTGTGTGTATTTATTTCTAAGTCACAGTGTGTAGTTTGATGTTTTCTGCAGTTATCTACTGAACATCTGAAAGCACACACACACACACACACACACACACACACACACACACACACACACACACACACACACATACCTAAATGTGGTACATTTAGGTGTGTGTGTGTATGTTCTTCACTGAAGCAGCAATCTAGGAACTAAGGCATGTTTCTGCTTTTAAAGGTCTTTGCTTTGTCCTTGTGGATTGAAACAAAGGACATTGATGAAGAACAGTGTAATACTGACAGCCGTCTAAATGGAAACAAAATACTTTGAAATCAAAATATTTTCAGGCATTCGAAGAAGAAAAAGAAGACCTTCTGTAAATTGTAATCAAGAGGGAGAACAATGGCCGGGTGATTTGTTATTTGGTAACGGAGATGTAGCCATCTCTGGTAATGCCAGTCAGGTTGTGTGTTCGCAGGTTTGGGTGTGCGATGAAGACTGAGGATATTGAGTTAGTCTCTCATTCTCTCTCAATATCTCTCCATCTTCCTTCAGTCAGTAAAGCTTTACTTGGTGGTGGCGTTTGTGGGGGAGGAGCCTGCCACAACAGGGATCTGGGCACACAGAGCAGCCTTAATTAGATGGGGCCTCGTGCCATGTGCCACCACAGCATGTGTGAAAGGGAGTGTGTGTGTCTGTGAGTGTTATAGCATAGTCCGTAGCCATGTAGGATAAGATTTGTTTTGTGTGTGTTTAGTTTTGTTTTTGCATGGTCTCTGGACACATTTGGATACTAAAGGGTATGTTTAGCACTTGTTCTTTCATGATATGTAGGAGAATTTTTTTCTCTCTCTCTCTCTCTCTCTCTCTCTCTATATATATATATATATATATATATATATATATATATATATATATATATATATATATACATATAATAACCCCCCCGATCTATGCTTTGGCGCCAACCACCATCATTGGCTGACTGCTTTGGCATCAGATAATTTAAATGAAGACAAACCAGTTCCTTTTGTAGTCAAACAGCCGGGATCTTCTTTTAATTTAAAAATGCATTTGGGTCATGGCAGGGGGCGGTGTTTGAAGCCATCACCCTCCTATGGAGCTAGTCAGCGGGTGAGGCGGGTGCGCTGTAGGGATGGGCGCTGGGCTGGAGAAAGGAAGGTTGTAGCCTTAGTTGGTTTGGACTTGCTCAGCAACCTTTTTTTAAATTGGTGCCTCTTGCTGATTGTTTGACTTGTTGGGTTTTTAATATACAGGCGTTACTCACAGGCCAATCAAAGCTTTTGGCGGACAAAGGGAAGTTTCCAATTGGTTGAGGTTGTTTGAGGCGGAGAGAGGGAGCCACATGATGACATCATAAAATAAAGGGTCAGGACATTTAAGGGCTGCTGTAGGATGAGCGAAGAAAAAAGGCCGTAAGCCACAAAAGAAATGCTATGAACTGCTCTTTGATTTTTCTCTCCCTAAAATCAGACTTTTGACATGATTTTTAGCTCCGTCTCAAGTTAGTTTGTAATTCTTAAAATCATTTTATAAAAAGCAGTGGAGACATATAATGATATAATAGGTTTTAATTAACAACCCTCTCCTCTGCTTATAGGTCAGAACTTGGCCCATGTTACTTCGCCTGCAGATTGAGAGGATGGGTAGCCTTAGGGGTTGGTTGTTATCTTTGGTTATCTAGCTGTATGAGTGATGTACATTCTTCATAAAGCTAGATAACCGAAAGTAACAAGAATCCCATTACACTCCTGAAAAGGCATCAAGACCCCAAATGCGCCTCCCTACAAGAAAATGCAAACTTTGCCAGAAGAATTGTAACATGAGAGAAGAAAATGGACTACATTTTAAAGAAGACGGGAATGCGATGCAACAAAAGGTAGGCTGCATGTTTTTCTTGTGTCTTATCTGTTGGTGATGGAATGTGTGTGAATACATGTGTGTGCCTTTTGTTAAACTCAAGTCTGAGGCCCCTTTTTTGATCCATCCGCAGCTCGTAATGCTGGGTATCGTTGTTAGTCATGTACAAATAAATGGGACATTGCCACACATATTTCCTTTAGCTCTCTGTAGCCAGTGGCAGTGATCCATAACAGTAAGGTTGGTACAACAGGATCACTTTTAATCTAATAAGCCCCATGATCCTTCTGTGTGGGGCTGCATGCATGGGTTTAGACTTAGTATCACATGGTTAGGAGTGACAAGCTTGCTAAAAAAAAAACAACAACCCCACACCGATTCACCAAAGTAACTGGTCTCTGATTAGCCAACACCAAGTGACTAAAGGACTTGCCAGTTTACTGGCTAGTTTGGACAACGCTCTATTTATTTGTCTCCATGTAATTCAGTCTTACTGCTTGCATTTTTGGCATTAAGAGACCATGCAATATGAAAAGAATGTGGGCCTTTGAGCTGCATACGGTGCTATGAATTATACATATGTTCCAACTTGGATTGGATTGTGTGAGTTAAGAATGGTCCCTCCGAGTTAATCTGGTCTCCCAACGCCCCACTGGCAGCTAAGCGCACAGACAAGAATTTGTTTGAGGCCAGTTTTGTTAAGTTAGCTGTTGTTGATTTTTTTTCTTCTTCGTTCCACCTACTCCCTTTTTCCTTTTGCATGAAAAGATGTTTAATTTGGGGTCCTGGCCGTTGTTTGATTTGACGTGACAGTTGGCTTGGTTGTGAATGGGCCGTGGCAAAGCCTCCATTGCATGAGGTGCTACCATGTGGAAAGGCCCGATGGGATCTCACTGAATGCTGCTGTGTGTACGTGTTGGGTTCAGAGGGGGAGTGGTCCAGGGGCAATCAAGCAGAAAGTACCCCTAGTGACAAGATCCACGAGTGAGCGAAGGAGAACAATCTCAGCCTTTAGGTTCTTTGCCTGGACTCATGGTGAGGAGTAATTGGTCAATCAGATCTTCAACCTCAAGGCCTCTGATGGCTGATTGAAGGTGTGATTTCTGTTCTGCCCATCAAAGCTGGAGGGTTACTCCTGCTGAGAAAGGCCACTAAGAATTGTATCCTAGGTCTCAAAGCTCTGGTGGTACATAGCGAATTCCACGTGTGGCGTGCTATCTCATTGTGGTGCAGCTAAAACATCACCCTCGGGTTTGGATATATTTAGCTTGACAGGGTACAAATTCTAAACAGTTGTGCAGGACTGAAGTGAAATTACTAAAAGCTTGTGAGGCAACCTTACCTCGCAATGTCAATCTCTTCGAGCCCTGCGGTTGTGCCTGCCTGCTGCATTGCAGGTGCTGAGTGTGACACTTGAGCTTTGGGCTCTGCTAGTAAGAGAGAGGAACGAGGGCCCTGACAGGAAGTGACAGCCAGAGATGTCACCTTCTTGGATGGCAAAGTAGTACCTGGTTCTCTCTCTGTTGTGTTGCTACGTCCCTACATGTCCTTTTCCCCTTTATTTCTTTAGTTTTACAGCGTTGTATGTAGGGCTTTTTATCACATAATGCAACTGATAGATTAATGATTGTGCGTGCCCAATATCCAGACTCCTGTATATCTACACAGGTGTGGTTTGTATTTATGAAATTAGCATATAACAGGTGTAAGGCAGAAACATTTTGTGCATTGTGGAGAATAGTTTTCTCCCTTTGCATCTTTTTTGTGTCAGTTACACTGTTGGGTCTAAATGGGAACTGAAGTCTTGGACAGATTGTGTTTATACCCTAAGCAGTGCCCTGGGAGACGCATGTCATGGTACAAATGCTTTGTTCTGGCTCGGTGTGTGGCACAGTTATATCACTAACACTTCACACTAGGGAACTTAGTGCAGAAACTGTATTAGCTTATGCTTGCCTGAAAACAGCATAAAGATAGGAGAGTTCCTCAAAAACACCTTAGGGCCTTTGCTCTCTCTTTTTCTCTGTCCCATGGCAGTGTTGGAAATAGAAAGAGGGCGCGAGGAGAAAGCATGTAAAGGAAAGCAGCCAGGGAGAGGAAAGAGAAGGAGGAGGGTGGTGGGTTTGTCTTAGCTTTCATGCACTGGGCAAGCAGATTTAGACTCCAAGTGTCAAATAGAAAAACAGCCATTGTGGTCGGGTCCTACTTGCCCCCCCATAAGTAGACTTTACAGTCAATAGAGCTAGTCCACTTGTCACTGAGGGACAATGCACCCCTTTGCCTCCCTTTCAGGCCTGCCGGGTCCGAGCAGCCAGACAGCTTTCTGAATAACCCAGTGATTCTTGGCCCCTTTTCTCTGCCTCTCTTTCTCTTGACGGAACACACCAACAGGGCTTGGAAAATGGCTTCACTGTTGGGCCAGAGTGTAAGGACAGACCCTGTTATTTTCTACAACACTGGCATTCCCTCCACCCCCTTATGCACGCATAGAAATGAATGTATCTTGGGCAGTTGCAAAAGTCAATGGGCCTCCTCAGACAAAGGAGATTAAGTTTGGCAACTTAGCAGTAACAGGTGTACTTTGACTGAGCTCGGACCACACGGGGGGTGACTGTCGTTGTCTTACCCACTTGCTCTGTTTGTCTCCTTGTTGGTTTTTAGTTGCATGGATGTAAAAATTACGTTTGTGTTGCGTTGTCAGAAGACAAGAGCGCCTCAGACCTTGTTGACTTAGAAGTTTTAGTTGAGCTGTCCAGCACAGGCCTCTTATCATTTTCACTGCATTTGAAAACAAAGCTTAGTTTTGCTACATTTCTCCCATGCCAAGTTTTCTCCGAAGGGATTCTGCAGATATCTTTAGAACTCAAGCAGTGCTCACCCAAGGGAGCGAGTTAAGGGTAAACAATGCGGGCACACGGAGAAGAAAGAAGTATCAGAGGGAGTGCGGCACTGCACAGAAGCATGAATACATTTTCACATTTAGAACTGAGACATTGATGTTTTAGGAGGGGAACTATCATTTAAAGAGAATGAAGCCTTTTCTGTACATACCTTCAGTATTTTCAACCATAATAAATCAAGCCATTCAGCATCAGTACAAATAGAGACACTCTCAGAGCCAGAGCAAAACAGTGCATGCATTTGTTTGTTTCAGTCATTAATAAAGCTTTTACTGAGAGCCTCGGTCCTCAGAAAAGCCCATTCTGGTGAAATGACTTGGCAAAGCATCCGATGGAGGGTCTGTTCAGACTGAAGCTGCTCCCGCTCCCATTGTCTAGCTCTCTCTCACACACCTACGAGTCCAGAGTAAGCACACAATTTCATTGTTGCGTGAGCTGTTAATATCAGAGGCTTCACAATAGAGCCCATTCGCCATATTTGCATAAGGCACTTTTCCAACAAGGACCCAGAGAGGGCTTGAAAGCTGGCCCACTCTAGTGCCAATGGCAAAAAAATGTCAAGTGCCAATTAGGAGAGGTTTGCCACCATTCAGCAATACCCCACCCCTGTAGTCCTTCCCCTCCCTGCTTACCCACCCCAACTCTCTCACACTCCAAGTCACCCCTGGTTTTACCACCTTATTCCAATTTCAGACGTGGCCTTCCCCTACTGACACCCAGAGACAAAAGCTGGCTCCCTCCTCTCTGGCTAATGGAGGATCCTTTCTGCTTGGCTCAGAGTATTAGTAAAATCAGACAGCATGGTCCGTTCACCGATTAGTCAGCTTTCTTTGTTGATTACTTTGAATAGGGTTCAAGAACTATGCAAGATACAGAGTCCACCTGCTTGGGAATATTGAACTTAGCAAGCTGGCTGCACTGTGCTACTTTTGTTTTAGACTCCCAGGTTTGCATGTGCAGGTGTGGGTAATTGAGGGAAGGATTGTGGCAGAGACAGACGCTGATTTAAACAATTAACAATTCCCCCTTTCATCTGAAATCCACAGTGGTTGTTCTGTGTTAGTGTTAATGACATTTAGCCACCTAATGGCTTGCTTTAAGCTAGTCGTGCTTATTATTTTGCACGGATGCACATAGAAACATAGAGAAATGCTGCAGAGACACTATTTAAATTTAGAGTGTAGACTTTAAGTCAGCCTTAAAGGCTTAAGGAAAAGTAGATTTGCTACATGAAATCCAAGTTAGCTCAACTGGTGAGCATGTAAAGTACTCAACTACTGTTTATAATTCTATCGATGCTGAAATGCTACATTATTTCCATTATTTCCATGCTTAACTGCAGGTGTCAGATGCAAAGTATGCGGTGGAATGGTGGATTTAAAACATTAACTGTTCTTGAATTTTAGGTGATATATTGTTTATGCAGGAAAAGCCTTTAACATCAAAAACCTGGAAAAAAAAAACAAGGATGCAGTAAATTGAATGAAAAAATTAGGTAATAGACACAATAAAAGAAGGTAATCGTGTTTGCCCAATTGGTCTGGCGTTGTTTTCAGCAGAGCGTTTACCTAACTTACCGCCTCCTGCCACTCAAAAGGATTTTTCTCTTGTCGCTTTTTCTCTTTCTTTCTTTTATTCAATCTCTGTGTCTAGTTTTTTTTTCTTTCCCACCCTTGATTCTCAGATGGTTGGATCTGATTTGCATGCATTTACATAATGAAAGTCATTTGCATGCTCAGGGGCAGACTGTACCATGAGAACAGACATGAAAAGGTGTGTGTGTGTGCGCGCGCGTGCATTCGTGTGTTTGTATATTTTTGTGAACTGTACATGTGTGCTTTTGTGGATAAGCTACATAGTTTAAATGTTCAATTTTACCCTCTGATTTCTCCATCTATGTTTTCTGTGCAGGCTACCACATTACTGAAGGAAAGCTGGCAAAAGAAGACTGAAAAACAGAGAAGGAGGAGGGGTTGTTGTTGATTCTGCCCTCCCTCTCTCCTCGCCCTCCACTGCATTGCCTCTTCCCTCCTCCTCTTCCCTTCCTCATCCACTCCATCCTCAGCAGACTGCCCCTTTTTCCTGTACAGCGAAACGCAGCCCGCGCCACCATCTTAGAGCAACGCTGGCATGAAATGGAAGTGGGAAGACCAGTCAGTGCAGGTAACACACCAAACCCACTGCGCCCGCCATGCTTCATTTTTCTATTGGCACCTCCCTGACTCTCCATCATATCGCAATATCTCCATCTCTCCGTGCCCTCGCACCTTCTCCGGCGTGATATACCCTCCGTTTTAATTGCCTCTGATACGTTTGTTAATTGCACGACTCATGAGATGCGCTGATGGGAAGGAGGGGAGGGTTGATGTGGGTGGAGCGTGTTTTGTATGTGCGTACACATTAAATCACTCCGCTCTCAATGCCTCTCTCAGGAGGCGTTCAGTGGGCATCTGTCCTCGAAGCGCAAGTTTTTCTTTCCCGTTTGGGAATTCTGATGCCATCCTCACATGCCTGCCCCGACATGGCGGCGCCTGCCATTTTGGAGCTACGATGCAATCCGTGCCTTCTGGACGACAGACAAGCACAGCTGATTACTCCATAAGTTGAGCAGCTTAGTAAGAAAATTTTAGTCACTGAACCTAAAAAACTGTGATATAATATTTAATGATTTTGACAGTAATCTGTGACAGAGGTATGGCTTTTTAAAATAATTCTAAAAATCTCCCTTCAGCTCTTTAAATGAGGTCAAAAGAAATGTCAAGGTGGGCAACATCGGTTGAGTGGAAGTTATGATTCATAGTCTTTTACAGGGACACTGCAGCACATAAAAAGCCCAAAACAAAGCAGGAGAGAGGCAGAAAGAGGCAGAGAGAAAAAATAAAGACAAGATGGTGAAGTTGTAAGAGCATGATAGGCAGATTTAGTACTGAAAAGTCTCTCTTTAAGTGAGTGGTGAGTATTGGAGGGCAGTCGGTGCTCAGACAAGTTGAGTATTGTTCTCCTTGCATGAGCTCGTTGTGGTGCGGCATTTCTTCAACCGGGGAGCTCCCAACGTTGAAAACCGCTTAAACCAAAACACCAATTAGCGTTAGCTGGGCTTGATTAAGTAAGATGGCTGGTAAACAATGCTTACTTTTGTCATCTTAACACAGAAACCTCCCTTTGTTTGTGTCTGTGGCGTGTGGGTCAGAGAGACTGTGCTAATGGTAACTTATAGTAGGATGCCTGGGGCTAACAGAAACTGCCACAACCCCCAAGTCAAGGTAAAAACAGCAAAGGAGACTTGGCAAAGACAGGAAACATCTTAACATCAAATTTTGTTTTCTTTTAAATAATTTGGCCAAAAATGTTCAATTATATATATATATATGTGTGTTCTTTAAATTAAATCACTAATTTTCTGTATTTAGACAGAATACACTGTTAATGATTCCAGTTCCCCAATTAGGTCAAACTAAGCTTAATTAATTTGAATATTTGACGATGCCGCCTTAAGCGAAGGAGTCGCTTGGCTTTCCTGAGAAGTCTTGTGGTAACTGTGTCAAACGCAAAGTGCACTAATCACTGCCAGGCCTCTATAAACAGGTGGTAGATTGAGCAAAGGGGGCCGAGGCCATTCTCAATTTACTGTGTAAATTATGCAGAGCCCAAAACAATGCAAACAGTAGACAGTGGAGTGGCTGGCGTTGGCTAATGAGATGATGAGAAGCCTGGGAGGCCTGCGAGCTGATAGAGGAGAGGGGGTGGGCACGGCTTGTGTCTGGATCGGTGTATTCATGTGTGCGTCTTTGTGCGAGTGTGTGTGAGGGTCTAGAGGAGCTTTGGCAGGGGAGCAGACACTGTCCCGCCTGCACAAACCCCACCGTCAGCACCCCTCCTGCCCAGACTGAGTGCTACAGGGGGAGGGGAGGGTTAGCAGGCAGCTGGGGCACCCTGCCCCCATTGCTCCTGCAAGAGCACCAGGCTTGGGAACCTCGGTGGCAGGGGTCCCCCCAACACTGGCACGTAGGGGGCCCCCAAAAGTCTGGCTGCAAACCCCCATCTCCACCAATCCCCCCACCCCACCGTCTCTTGTCTCCCCAACCATCTCCACCCCTCCTACCCTAATGTAAGGCTCGGGGCCTGGGAAGGACTTCAAGTTCACGGCCAGACCTCCTATTGAGCTGACAGCCTGACTGTTTGCTCAATTCGGCTCCCTATTCAGGACCATACTGGAGGGGGGTGCTGTTGAAAAAAGGTTGGAGGATGCAGGAGGGTGTTGCTAGACAGTGTGGGACACTGTAGCACTGCGATAGCTATTCATTCAGCAAGGGGAGACAAGTAAAGAGCGGGGGGGAGAGAGTGAAGTTGGAGGAGGGGGGTTCAAGTCGGGATGCATAAATAAAAAGTGAGGAATCCAGGCTCAAAGTTTGCTTTGAGCAGTGTGCGCCTCTCTCACACTCTTTTAGACTCTTAATTACCGGCGCCTTCCACTTTTCTCTCTCCCTTTTCTCTAACTACACCCCCCTCCTCATCGCCATCGCACACACCCTCCTGAACACACACACACAAAATGGCAATGGCAATCATTCTCATCATCCTCTCTATCCCCTGGTTTTATTAGGCCACATGCTGGGGCTGTAAATTTACCATTAACAAGCTTATTCACTGTAGTCCTCTCAACAAAACAAGACCATGATGCCAATAACTCAAAGCGACACCAATACCCGAAACTGCCTTTTATGTCGCCAACCTCTACTGTTAGCCACTCCCTGCAGCCCCCACTCTTTCCTCACTGGCAGAGAGCACCCTCACACTGTAATGCTAAATGCCAAGGCTAACGTGATGCTTGTTAATAGCTCAGACAATGGTAATTAGCGCAGTGGTTGTTGATTTAAGCTAGATCTAAGCTAGATGGACGCATTATTGGCTAATTCTGAACTTGGTGACCTGCTATAATATTTTAAGTTGCTTGTCTGAGCTGCTCGAAAATGTAACAGAAAAGGGGGTTTGATGGTCTTCTGAAGTCCAACTTAGCCTAGCTTAGGGTGTGTCACATGCTTCCTCTTTGTATTAGCAGCTTGTAGCGTACCAGGCTCCTGTTAAGGCCTTTCAACTTCAGTCTCAATCCCCTTGGCTGGTACACGAAGGTGTACTTAACTCGGCCAGATTTAGGACACACAAGGAAGAAAAACCTAATAAGTATTTTTTTCATGTTTAAAGAGCACTGAGAACAAGCCTTCTTTTGATACATAAATTGGACTTCACAGTCCATTGTCTCAAATAATTGTTTTGACATTCACATGATTGGCCTCAAGGTGTGTTTTGACTCATTCTTTTTTTTTTTTTTTTTTAGATAAATGTGATTGGTGCAGGGGGATCCAGAATGGACAGAGCACACAAAAGGAGGACGGTGGGACTCCTCCTTCATTCGCTGCCTTTTAGCTGGAGTAAACACGGAGGATGGCGATGCTGTCTGCATGCGAGCCGGCAGTGATTCCTGCCATAACTGTGGAACGCTGTGTATGTCTCCTTGATGCATCGCTCGAACCAACACTCAGCCTGGACTGCTTGTGAATGACTTTTGGTGTTTTAACTGAGCAAACATCATGGACTCCAATCATGGAAACCTGTGGGACTCGTTGGAAAATAAGCAGCCCGAAGGCTGGAGGAACTGCTTGATAATTGTGACTCTTAATTCTTTTATTTGTAGATGTGGCACTGAATTTTGTAATTATTATCCTATATTTGATTGTAAAAAAATATTGTTTAGACATGAAGGAATATAATCTGTCCTCAGCTGTCATAGGCTCCACTTAATGTAGGTTGTATTTGATGATTTGTAGCCCATATTTTGCTCATTTTCTCTTTTGTTATAGTTGCTAGGACTCAAAAGACATGTGAATGTGAGACCCACGGCAGCAGTGAATAATACTGCACTGCGATTGGACAGCTCCGTGTGTCAGCTGACACAATGGCGAAGGAGTGAGCTGTCGTCTTTATACTCTATGCAACTGTTCTCTTTTTTTCCTTTCTTTATTGTTTAGGGGAAAAAAACCTTTTCATATTTATTTTGGATTATGTTTTGAGCCATCAGTTTACAGAAATTCCTTCAGACATCATCAAGAGAAATGGTTTATGAGGTGCTGACGTTCCAGTTATTAATATAGTGAAACAGAAATTACAGTCAGGATGTGTGTGTGAGTGTGTGACAGATGACAGGATACAGCATTTTCATCAGTGGATGGATTGAATCTCATATTTGCAGCTTTCGACTGTGCAGCCATGAGCCAGAGTCTGAGTAAATGTGGACTCAAGCATTTAATATTCCTGATGGTTGGAGTGTGTTTGATCAGCAGGAAGTAGCTCTGCGTGTATACAGAACATGCCACACTATTAAAAGCTGCTCCCTATAGCAGTCGTTGAGGCACAGCAGTTTGGCACATAATAGTTACCTGCTTTAGTGTAATGATACATCTTTGGGTGAGACATGACAAATACATTGGCTTCAAACACTGCCTTAATTTCCTGTTCTTGACATTAACACACAGCGACACACACGCCCGCACACACACATGCACCCAAATGCAATAAGGCAAGTACTATCAGGGCCTAATTCATTCTATATTAATTTTCGGGAAGTGGCAAATTTTTTATTACGATTGATAATCTATGCAAATCTTTTAAATATTACTTTAGACAATCTATGTCTATGCAGCGCTTTTGCAATTGATTCAAGGGAGACTATCTTGGCCTAATTTAGAAAATGTATTCTTTTGATAATCATGCACATCCCAGTGCTCAAGACAATTACTTATCTGCCTGGATAAGCTTGAAATTATGTTTTTAATCTCTAGCAAAAAAAAGTCACTCTTCTGAAATCAGTCCAGAGGCTTGAAAACCATGAATTGTGGTCTAAAATAATTAAATCAGTTGCACTAAATCTCCCTTTTCCTTAAATGTAGATCAAATATATCTATTTAGCTTTGAATAGCATACTGTTTATATAAGCAACAATGTTTGTATTATGCAATCTCATCTTTGTGAATGAGTGTTCACCACACGTGCCTTTGTATGGAAAACTGTTGAAATAGTAATAAAGGTTTACAATGAAAACAATGAAACATGTCTTGTGCATGCTTTTGATCAGTTTTGGTTGCATATCGCTGGCTGGCAGGATCGTCTAGTGATAAATGGAAAAGTACATTAATCAGCCGCATATAGTGCTGAAGTGTCCTTGAGCCGTGGCTGAGCCTGGTCAGCAGTGATGTAATTCACTGAAAGAAAGAAATATAAATGTAAATAACTGTCCTTAAAATGAGAGACAGAAGAGGTTACAGTTTTCTAAAATTAAAAATGGAAAAATCTATAAAAACAAACAAAACCTAAATGTGCTTTTCCTTAATGATTTTGCTGCTTTAGTCACATCTACAGAGAAATCTACCGGAGTTCAGTTTCAGCACATCGTCACTGCCAAATGAAAAGATTATAACAATTCCCCCGAGATCAAACAATTTTCTAAACACCATCAGGGATGTGGGTGTTCATACGCAACCTACACTGGAGAGAAACAGAACAGTTCTGTCCTCTTTTGGTGTAAAATTAATCAGGACAAAGGCGCTCTCTCTAGTAACCAATAAAAATCTTAACCTTGGTGTTTGTTGTGAATGAATGATGATGAATAATAAGCCAGCCACATGTCATTTAACCTGCTGTTATTCCAAGTTTGGGGAAAATAAAGAACCCGTAGCACCCTCACCCTGGATTGTGATAATCTGTGTGCAGCGCTGTCGCTTTGCGAGCTGCTGTGTGCTGCACAAAACACTTCCCCTACGTGATTTGCTGTCTGACACCACATATGGCGAATGCGCCAACACCGACATATGGGCCCCTCACAATTCATTAGCATTGTCATGTAAAAAAGGGTAATCCCACTGTAAAACAAATGAAATGTAACCCTTTACAGTACAGGTTGATTTGGCAGCTCTTTTCATTCATTCCCTCTCTTTTATGAAGTCTCATGTAATTCAATGAAAGAGGTTTTTAACGCAGCTTCGATGCACCCCCATGGGTGTCTGCATTCTCGGTTTGTAGCAGCCGAGGCTTTACGAGCTACTCTCCTCTTGTTTACAGCTGCGCTGCACGTTCAAATGAGCCATAGTACACATAAACTCCATGCAAATATTACAATGCCCTTATTAACCAGGGCAGGCGGCAATTACATTATGTCCCAGGCGTTAACATCCAAAGAGCTAGCATGGTCCTCTGTGACAACTCCACTCGCCCTCTGTGTTTCTTGGCTGTGTTATGGCCCTCATAATCTGATTCACAGTTTTTGTCATTCTGCCAAGAGGCAAGCTGCATTAGCCAAGCACTATAGGCTTTAATGAACTGAGTGTCAATGTTAAGCATACTAGAGCAAGCTGGAGTGACGGCGTACAACCGGGCTGTCGTTTGCAGCCATGTTGGATCACAGTCAAAGTTCTAGCTGCTCAGAATTAAAGGTTTGTCGGGCCGCTGAGTAAAAAACGAAAAAGTTGACCCCGCATTTTGCTTTGTGCAGTTGGCATCCTAAATGACAGTAAGTCTTGTGTTTGGGGAGCTGTGTTTATAGCGATGGGGTGTGGCTTCCTTTTGACATATAGCACAAAATGGCTGCTCACAACGGCCAATCATGAGACTGAAGAAATTGATTCCAAGATGGCGTCTCAATGACATTAACATGACTTGGAGCAGATTTAAAGAAAAACTGCAAAGGGGTCCGCAGAACAATTTGATTGATGAGAACACAAGGAGCATGGTGACAAGAGGGGTCCAAAAGTGGGAAATGGCGGGGTTTGGTGCACGTCCAAGGTCTTGGAACTGGTGTGATGCTTTGTGATGAACTTTCACAAGTTGCTCAGAATTGCATTGGTATGCAGGAATGCAACCCTAGGAGGCCATTCTGTGTGATTTTGGGGGGAAAACATGTTTGCAACTGGTTGCAAGGACAGAGGATGTGTGTGTCTTTGGATGCTGTCGTAGCTGGAGCCAGAAAAAGTGGGCGTCCGTCCAGATCTGTCCACCTTTGTGAGCTGCTTCGCAGTGTGGCAGCTGGTCATTCTGTTCATAGAGCAAAGACAAAATGACATCAGAAGCTCTGAAGGATATGTTGTCGAGCGTGATGTTTCATTTATAATAAATAAAGAATAAAGCCGCGGACGTGTGTGTGTGTGAGCGGAGAGTTGGTCTCTTCGGTGTGGAGATTATTGAAGGATTTCTTGATAAGCAATCTGACGAGTGGCAGCTAGAGGATCAAATTTTAGCGCCTTGCACACACACGCACACACACACAGTGTTCGCATGGGTAAAAAGTGGCTTATGCCATTCAGATAAAATTTTAAATGTTATTAAACACGATTGTTCCACTTTGATTATCAGATGATTTATTTTTCCTATAAATACATTACCATCATGAAGCTGAAAGGGCAGACGGAATGGACAGCAGGTCTGTAAGTCAGACTGGAACGAGTATTTCTTCATTTGAAAAATAGTCTGAATAACTGCTTTTCTAAATAGAGAACATATGATTGGAAAACCATGTATCACGATGTTCCTCTTGTGTGCTTGGCAATGCTTTTGTTCCTAGTAGTGAAGAAATCTGGAAATCTGACAACTAGGGGGTTCGAGCTGCCAAATAAGGAGACTCATGGGAACTCCAGTAACACTGACTTAATGATTTTCCCTTTTCTGGAAAAGCATCTTTCATACTTCTGCTCCTATACATTTCAAAAGGGAAACGATGTATTACTTTCGAGCTGAAAATCTTGATACTGCTTACTTTGAATATTATGATGCAACATAAAAAAACATGCAAACATTTGATGATTAGTAACAGCATACAAAAATAGTTAAACCACCATAAGGTGCTATGAATGAGCATAATTAACAAATAAGTACTGCTGCATTAAATGCTGTATAATTTATCGATTATGCTCCATTCTGAATGTTTCTACTTTAAATATTTTTAGTATCATTTGCTAATACAGTGTAAAATCTGATTAGTTCCCAGAACTTGAAAAAAATTACACAAACCTGTTGCCTCAAAAACACTAAGTAAAGTTTACTTAAGTTAAACAAGTTAGGGTAGTACTATTTAGCAAACCTAAGCAAAACAGTGAATACTGGACTTTCACTAGTAATGTTGAAATCATATTTAAATGACTGGATGTTAGCTATGTTGTTGCACTTCACAAAATAACCTTCATTTTTTTGAAGCTGAGATTACATAGCACACACTCTTATAAAACGTTCACATTTAACCCAAACTCCTGTTTAAACTTAGACATCCCCCATTACTCTTCACGTTTCACTGACATGAAAAATTGTGACATCATGTTTGACTGCATAAGAGAAGGGAGGTAAATGACACCAGTATTGACGTGTTTTTGTATTTCTCAGGATGGCAACTCAGTACCATAATCTAGCTTGCAGCTTGACATCCCTGCATTTTTCAGTTTGGCTAATGGACTTTGGAAAGGTAATAGAATTGTGTGCAGTAAACGAGGACCTTCAGTGTTTCAGCCTAACTTAAAAGTTAAAAAAAAGTGAGAGTGACAAGGTTTTTACCTTTGCAGGATGACATTTCAAATTGAAGTTTTGTCATCTGCACAGGTAGCAGTTAAAACATTAAGCTTAAAATCCTCTCACACCCCAAAGCCATCACTTGGAGCTTATTTATGTATAAAATGAAGGAGAAATACTCAAGCAGGAGAGGCTAGTAAAACTTGCAGCTTAGGCCTGATGAGTTAGACGTCCGGATCACTGAGGATGCTTTTTCTTGAAGGCGAGCGAGCCCTGTTGTGGAATGTCAAGTAGTTTGGCCGGGGCGGGTGACTGAAGCGGGAAGTGATTTGACTAATGTTTTTCCTTTCATAGGGCTGCTCTCCACCACGTCCCCCTCTGTCCTCCCCAACCGCCAAAAACCTCCCCAGAAAACTTTACGGTGATGTCATTCATATGCAAAACAGGCATGCTTTTAGCTAGTGAATGTGTGTGCATGCGTCTGTGAGCAAGTGTGTGTGTGTATTGCTTGAGTGGCTGATTCCATTACTTGAAGGACCATTACACTTGCCTGTCAAAAGCCAAAAGACCTGAGAAAAATTAGCAGATTAAATCACTCTGCTCCTCTCCTCCTCTCCTTCCATCTTCTTGCCCCCGCTAGCATCCGAGTTGTTGTTCATACCATGGAGGTGTTTTGACAAAATCAAAAATGCAGTGCAACTCCTTTGAAAGCTGCTTCATTTTTGATCAGTGACAGGTCCTAATTTTGGAGACAAATCTCTTAAAAATGACAAAAAATGAAAACAATGATAATGGTGCAAGACACAATCAGAGCAGAGCTCCTGGGAACGTGAGTAGCTTGGAGGCAAAATCCTATAAACAGGGGCAACTAGGGAGACGGAAGCTAAATGTGGTTTTATAGTCTTGTAAAAATTAAATGACACGTTTGGGGATCCGATACACATTTATTGAAGCAGTTGGGTGAAAGTTAAAATGCTGGTCAGGGTTCAGAAGATTAAAGATTGGAGAATTCCTGAAAATCATCAGTTCTTTGATGGCTTTAATCACAAATCTTGCTCATAATGCTGTAACAGACTTCAGCTTTTATACCTACAGTAGTTATCCTTTGCCCTGTGATAGGACAAATCCTGCAGTGCTTCTCTCCTTAAAAACAAAAGAATAAATCCCAGATCCAGAATGTGGGAATGAACACCCCACCCACCCACCCACCCTGGGGGTCAGATTAGCATTCTGGGAAAACAAAATTCCCCACTGGAGTGTGGGGAGTTTGCACAGAGCAGATGGGTACACACAAAATCAGAAATACAGGGGGAAGTGGTTACAGAAGAAGACGAAGAGGAAGAAGAGGCTTGGCCCCCGGGGAAGATGGAGGACAGAGCGTTGGGTGGGGAGGAGTTGGTTGTGAGAGAGAGGCGCGAAGAGTTAATGCCGACAGCTCAACAAAGGCCGCCACCACCGCTGAGGGCAGAGAGGAGCACGGGAAAAGAGCTAAGGTCAAGGGGACCTCGGGGGGGTGGGGTTCAAGTTCAAGGCGACTGTCAGTGTCTGCTTTTTAA